AATTTGCATAATTACTGGTGGTAGGACCTCTTGGGAGTCCGCACGGGTAGGTACCACCACCCCGCCTATTTCCGCCGTGAAGCAGTAATGCGTTTTGGTTCGAAGGGTGGGGTAGCCGTTATAACTATACTGAGACCTTAGAACTTATATCTCGAGGTGGGTGGCGCATTTACGTTGTAGATGTCTATGGGCTTCAGTAACCACTTAACACCAGGTGAGCTGTGAGCTCGTCCATCCATCTAAGCAATAAAAAAATAAATAAAAAAATACATTCAAATGAATCATTTAAATGAATATAAAATGTTGTTTTCCTAAGTAAAATAATGTGAGTTGAAAATCGACGAACCTTCCCTTTCTGTCCGTACACAGCCCACGTCCATTCGAGCGGAGAACTCCTTGTTTTTGCGACCACCAACCCCACGTCACTCAATGTTTTTTTTTAATTTTTTAGTTTCGTTTGCTTTGCCGTATGGTTCGTTTCTTTTATTATTGTTTCCCGCTGCTTACTCATAAATCTCCGTCTACCTGAAGCTTTTGAGGGGCGATACTAAGCTTCTATACCAAGTTGAGGCTTGAAAACACTTTCGATGTTCTCTATTTATTAAGCGAGAGCAACTCGTGACAAGCGCTAAAAGTTGGCCAAGTTATTGCTTACTGCTGATTGCGGCGGTCACAAATAACGGCCGGATTTGTGGCTAACTTGACAATATGTTGTGTTACATATCGACGCTTGAAAGGCAAACGTGACTAAGCGACAATAACTGCTTTGTACATAAATGATAGGCAATAACCATATTCGATGCACAAAAAATATATATTTCTAGGTCTATTAAAATCATTTCAATCCTACAATTACTAGCTAGATTCTACTACAGCTAGATTCGTTAAAATATTTTTTTTTTCAGGTATTTCAACTTTAAATTAGTCTACTGTAAAGTTCACGCATTGTCGCTTAGTCACGTTTGCCTTTCAAGCGTCAATATGTATAGTTCACATAGGTATTTTCTGTTATTTAATGCCTCCTGTCACTTTATTGAAGTGAAACTTCTTTAGGCGCGTTGAGAGTAAAATTTAATTCGCGACAGATTATAATTATTTACGGCTAGAGAGAAAAGATACAATTTACGAAGAGCGAGAGTGAGAAAATAGAGAAAGCGTCTCGCGAATCACCAAGTAATTAATTAATTAATTAATTACACTAAAAAAAATATGAAGAAAACCACAATAGTACATACACCGCAAAAGAAGTTTCACTTCTATCACGTGGACCATTGGTCGTTGGTGGAAGTTGACCGCGCACTAATTTTTATTGGCTTCATAGATAGACGAGCATAATTGGGCCCACCATATACACCGATGCAGACTTTCTTGTCCTTAAAAAGAAAATTGTCTGACAAACAAAGTCGATAAACAAAGAAAACGGTCATTAACTGTTTTTTCTTTGTCTACTTACCTATCTCCATAAAAATATTATGGTATAATGAAAATAATTAATATTATTTTTTAATGCACGAAATATAATGTATAGTGGCGTATTGTGAGTCTAAATACCTATGTACCGGTATCCAGCCAATATCTACCACGAAGCAATCGCGCCGTCTATTTTGAACGGGAGAACAGTCGTTATTGAATACCGTTAAAACTTCAACTTCAAGCTGCTATTTTTAATTTATGTTAAAAGTAATTAGACGGACTCATCTATCAAGAACTTCTATAATTATCTTTCATATCTTTTTTAACAGACAAATGTTCCACATTCAAATATCTCAAGCTAGGTTTTGGATACGAGACGAGAACCAAGATCCCAAAGAAGAAATTTATTTCGAGAAAAAATTGACCTAGGCTTCATGGTACAGTAATCAAGGATGCGAACTATAATTTATAATTTGCGTAATTACTGGTGGTAGTCTTACAACTTAGATCTCGAGGTGGGTGGCGGAATTCACGTTGTAGATGTCTATGGGCTCCGGTTCCCATTTAACACCAGGCGGGAAGTGAGCTCCTCCGAGCATCTAAGCTATAAAAAAATAAAAATAAAAAACTATTAAGTCGACGATAAAAACAACAATGATATTCCTCAAAAAAATGATCTTCATTGTATATTGCAGTGGCTCCTTAAGTTTCCCATCATCAATTTTTCTGGCACAAAATTACAAACTTCCATTAACGAACATCTAATTAATAATACCATTATTAATTATGTAATTGAAATAGGTGGGCTGCTCGAACAAAAACACTTAAACGCCTTTATTTTGACGGAAAGAAAGCAAAAAGCATAATTCTACGTCCGCCAACTAATTTTAATTAATCGTAAAAATAAATTAGCTTAGGCTTTCCACGTTGGAAACGTTTTGAGTGAAAGAATAATAATTTCCGTGGCTGCCCCGACGTGGCTGTGGATCTTTGTGGTCTTTGGTAAAAGAAATAGCGGATATACAGACATCGATAGTTAATATAAATAGTTACTGGCGATAGGGTAGGTACTAACGCCATGCCTATTTCAAGCGCAAAGCAGTAATGCGTTTCGATTTGAACGGTGGGGCAGCCGTACTGTAAAACTGAGACTTACTCGTGTCTCAAGGCGAGGGGCGGCATTTAAGTTGTTGATGTCTATGGGTTCCGGTAAATAATAAACATCGGGTGGGCCGCGAGCTCGCCATCACATTTAAGCAATAAAATAAATCTGTCAAAAACTGTATTATATCAGTAAGATATCAGTAACTCCAAGCTACATACTGAACCACGTATCTTGCCATATTTGGAACCAACCTTTTTTGAATCACTATCGCCTTTTCATAATTATGTATTCGTTCTTTATTGTAGACATAGATACAAAAGCACAATTTAAATGGCAAATACAAAAGGCAATATAAGTCAAAAATTACTTTCCTTCCAAAAAGTTGACTTACTATGACAAGATTTTAAATCTAGATTTAAAGTCTAGAGATAGAGAAAGAAAACAAACATACACGAATTCGTGTAAAAGAGATTTTGGCAAAAAATTATCCGATCTTATTTTTTTCTCAATATTGAAGTTGTATACTAGTGAAAGAATTGATTCGTAAAATTGGTAGGGCACCCTTTAAAAATGTCATCAACAAACGTTTTTCGAACGTGCGGCAACATTACATTAAGAAAGTTCCTGTATTTCTTGTCACGTTTAATTTTATACCTTATACCATACTTAGAGCAATGTCAGTGAAGGATGACCAACGCACATCGCCCCAAAGCCTCTGATCCCGACAGCTGTCTCTGGCCTCACCTTAATTAAACCAAGTCACTGTCGCAGGAATACACCACAACTAAAGATATTTCGTGTACATTATGTTCCGCCAAAGATTTTCTTATGTACTTTTCACGGAAATATAGGATAAAGTTTGCCATGAAAAAGTCGTGCGTTAGGGCAGTTTGAGGCAGACTTTGACAAACTAGGCTCAACACTCATCTAGTCCTTAAGATTTGCATATAAAGTTTCTTTTTTCAATCAAAATAAGAGTTGATAAGTCCAAAAAAAAATGTAATTTTGAAATTCTTCTAATCATAATAAGAAAAGTAAGTATAAGATAATAAAAGTAAGAAATCTCAATTGCATTGGTAGTTTTCGTATGGAGCTCTTGCAATAAGCTCTACTATCAATAAATTTCAAACTACTTAATTAAACTCAAATTAGAATATTTTCCTAACTACAAATCAAATCAAAAATCAAATCAAAATCAAAAATTTTTTTTATTCAACATAAATGAAAGTACATACTTGTTGAACGTCAAAAGAACTACCGCCAATTCACAAGAACTAGCCTCCGTCCTGAGAAGAATTGGCAAGAAACTCAGCGGGCATGTTTTTTTAATTTTTTTTTAATAAATTATTATTTATTAATTTTTTAATATTACATTTTTTTTTTTAAATATGAGTTTTTTACAATGAGTATTATAACGTAACAATTACTACAATATTGAAATGCCCGGAGCGAGCAACTCATTCCCACTTTGTGCAATCTTCTAGATAATCACCCTACTTCATTTTATGTGAATATTATTAAAGAGTAGATTTTGGATCATTTTACTCTCTGAAAACATGAATATCTGTATCTGTCCAAAAAACTACACCTATGCTACCTGTATCTGTGCGTAAATTATTTGAAAGATTTAATAATCAACAAAACAAAACAATAGGCCAAAAAACAATCGAAATATGTAGTTTCTAACCTAGTCATTAAGTGACCCAAAGTAAATCCTACCTCTATGGACGGAGCATCGTTTTCATTAATGGAACCCTTTGTTAGCCGTCAAATGTAAACAATGCAAAACAAAAGTAATTAAAGCAATGAATTCGTTGAATATGAAACCTGGGCCTTACCTTAATGTACGCGCAGGCTAGGGTTACAAGGTGGAAACGTTTCTTCCATTTTGGAAGTTTAAATTGATGTTGATGTAAATTTAAGTTGATGTTTCCATCAATTATCGTGTCCTAATTATTACTTAAATAAAATTAATCGCAAAACATACATATATTGTATTCTTAAGACCTGACAAACTTCGATCCGTGAACATGTCAAATCAAAAATAATCGCAAAAAGAGGTTGAGTGTGGGCTGGTTTTGTTTTTCATATTTACTTATGAAAATCACATTTACATTTACATACTTAATATTAAGTTATAACAACTGTACCACCTTACAAACTAAAGTGCAACAGCTGTCTGTCCAATGAAATCCAATGACGCAATTGCATTGAAGCAGAATCATACAAAAACTTACAGTGTGCACACTAATCGTGTTTTTATTTTTTGGATCGAAAAGTAATCGCCGACGTATATCCGGATTGGTGTGGTATGCTTCCTATCAAAAACCATGGGCGATAGTAACGAAACATCCCAATTATTACTGACCCGTTAACACATTTGCTACCGCCTGTTGCCTATAAAAAACAAAGGCTAGTTGAAAACCCGTCTGCATCAACAGTTAATTGTGATTTTGTTAATGAAATGTATATTTGTCAACAGTACGAAGAGTCGCACCCCAGTTTTCGATACCACCCCCTCCCCGCTCAGAAGTGATGCTCGGTGGAAACCTGACTTTGAAATGCGTTGCTTTCGGAGCACCGATGCCTACTGTTAAATGGAGGAAAGGTAAGTGTTGGAACTTCCTTTTCCTTATTCCTTCCTCAATCCCCTATCCACGCCATCTGTTGACACTACAAGAAAACATACGCATATAAAAAATGGCGCGAAGAGTGTAAAAAAAAAACTTATACATGGTGCCGGTGCAAAAACAATAAAATTGTGATTTGTTGATCAATCAGCACATATAACTCTCGCAAGTGAGAAAATAGAATAATGCACCAACGAGCTACAGAGTGAGTCCTAAAACTTATCCTTTTCCCAGTCCCAAACATATCTAAATTCAAAACGGTAAGCAGCACCATTTATATGTTGAATCGTAATCTGTCGTATCAAAATAGATGATCCTCCTCCATTAAACTCCAGTAGCACATCAGTATTTCCGATAGAAGAGTGAATGTCATACGTCACAACTAGTGGCAAAATTAAACTATGAAAGTCACAACTAGTGGCAAAGTTAAACTATGAAATTAATTAACAAACAGTTTAAAAAAAGTATCTCAAAGCAGTAATAACACAGAAACATATTTTTATCAATATATGCAGTTTAATATTTACGACAAGTAAATTTTTCATCTTACTTATAAAAATATACTTTTTAATTATCAACCTATCGATTTTATAAATTGACTTTGCGTGTTCCCCCGCACAGGATTAACGAAATGGTTGACCCCGGAGGATAATCCTCCTCTAGGGCTGAACAACCTTGAATTAAGAGACATCAGAGAATCTGCCAACTACACTTGCGAAGCAGCCAGCGTGCTTGGAGTCATTGAAGCCACAGCCGAAGTCAAAGTTCAATGTAAGTTTTGCAACCATTATACAATTAATTCGACCATTTCATTATTACAAATACTGAATTTCACCGAATAGTGATTCGTCATAATATTATACTAAATGGAAATACATACAATTCTTTCGTTTTCTGAATATACATAACTTATTGTCTTTGAAGCGTAACTTTATAAAATATAGGAACCCGTCCCTCCCAAATTAAATCTCGTTATTAATTGGGGACCGTTACATTGCTCATCTCTTTTTTCGTACCTACGAGGTCTCGACAAATGTACCTCAATTTACCGGGTAATTGATTATTTCATGAAATCATTAACCCCATACCGAGTTGTAAGTGTTCGCTAATTAATCCGAACTGTTTGAGTAGCTCCCGACGCGAAGCGAGCAGACGACTGACTGAATCAAATTACACTCATAATTTCTTGGGATAACTGTTGCAAATTTATGGTAATAACTTCGCCGCGATGGAAAGGGGGGATTTACGAAAATCAATTTGATAAATTGCGGCAAGTCGAGAGACATCCATTATGAATTAGTGTTATAATTCATAATTGAAAGGGTTGGAAAGTTGCGCCCGGCCTCCTGAGACAAACGAATGTCTGTTTGATTAATGATTCATTATGATGGTTGCGTAGTTCGAGAATTGTCTTCTTGATTTCTTGGGAAGGTTAAAATATCGATGTCCATTCCGTAATTTCCCATTTGTAATTCTGTGCTTCTGATTAAATACATTGGTAGTCGTGGCAATTTGGCTTCACCTTGAACTGCCCAAGATTTGGTCGGCCTCAATGAATAAATGACCCGGCAAGTTTAATGGCGGTCGCGTCGAAAATCTTCTTCGAATTTATTTATTCCTTGATTGAGGTTAAGTGGCTTTTCGTCGAGGAAGAAATGCTTCGTGATTTTTATCGTGACTTTAACTTAAAAAGAGTTAGGTAACGAAAGAGATATTTATGAACCTTTTTTTTCATTTTAAGCAATTTAAAAATGTCTTCTCTTTAAGAATATAATGTCTAAATTTAGCTTGACAGTGTTACAACTTGTTTTTTTTTTATTCATAGAACTTTCAATAATCGTGGTTCTGGTTGAGACCTGTCCATTATTATATTTGGTACCACAGGTTAAAAAAAATAAGAAAAGTTGTAATGTCGTTTACGGAAAGAAAAGGATAATACAGTTGTATTTTAAAATAACATTTTTCACTAACCAACCAAAGGGAAATACAATTATCGAAAGAAAATTAATGTACATGGATAGTGAATAGTCCGTTAATTCTTTTGTCATCTATTTTATATACATATGAGAACGGTCAATTCGTTCCTTGTCGTTTCGTTCGTGTCCGTCTTTTAGGAAGTCAAAAAAAATACTGCTTAGCGGCAAGCTAGTCACGTACGCCCTCGTTCCATTTCTCTCTTAATTTTTTTATTCTTGTCAAGTGTCTGTCTTAGTCTACTCTATGTCTAGTCGTTGTAGGTCTTATGTCCCGTCAAAGAGGTTGCACGCCACGACAGATAGTTTAAAGAACCTGAACACTGTATGTATTTGGATTGTAATCACTTTGTATTTTCAGCATTACCTGGAGCCCCCACTGAAGTTAGACCTTCCGAAGTTACAGCGACCGCAGTTCGCCTGTCATGGACATATAACGGCCCAGAAGAACCTCAGTACTATGTCATACAGTACAAACCTAAAAACGCTCATCAGGTAAGAAGACTGAATAAATTAATGCTTCGATGATTCTATAATAGGAGCGGACTCCATGAACGTGAAATTAATTTTCGGATAGCTTTATTTATCTATTCAAACAAGTCGTCTTAGTTCACCGGAAACATTACTTTCCGATTTGCTATTTCGAATTAATACAAGCGTTACTCGTTAAAATAGATTACAAATGGTCCGTATACAAAGTATAGTTTGCATTTATTTGGGTTATATCTATTCTACATTACGCTATTTAGCTTTGTCTCTCGCCTCCCAAAAAAATATTCGTATATTGTTTGACGTGTGAGAAGATCTTACTTTTGGAGATCGTTCTAGATCTTCTAGATAATTTCACTACTGTCAAAAATCAATCAGCTGTTGTGTTGATTGGTTTTATTAGACCAGCTACGTGGCAATCATTTTAGATACCTAAATTATAATAAAAATGGCAATCAAACAACAACACAGACTTTCAACTTGTGAAGTTCACTGGGTGCGCTATTTATTACGCCAGAGCTTCATGTTAGAAATGAATAATTCAAAAACCTAACAACTCAATTATCCCCCAAAAAGTTAATACGAAAGAAATATATAATTTTATTGTGGATTTAAAATATAAGATTCGATTAAAACATTAATGATTCATTCTAAAACATTCAGAATTAATCTAAGCAATCCAAGTCCCGGGAGTCCTAGCGATTTGCGAAACGAGACAGAGACGGGCTTCAAATAATCCAACTCATTTATTTTATTTCATTTTGTAAAATAAACTTACGGAGTTACTTCTTAAAGAAGCTTCTTCTGTCTAATTAGTGTAGTCAATAGTGCTGTGGGGGTTATCATAGAATCCTATTTCTTTTGTGTTATTTAGTTTAATGACTGTATTTTTTAAATGTGCAAACAATGAGGAGTTATTTTTATATTAAGATGCTATTCAGTTAGGCCTATATCTGGTTCGCTCGGAGATATTAAAAGTATTTGTATTATTTCATAACATTTTTGCAAAGGTATTTTTGCAAAGGCCTTATTTGAAAAAAACCAAAGTTTTCTTACATTAAATGAGTTGACGAGTACACTGTCCACTCACCATTAAATGGTAATCTGAACTTATAGAAAATATAATGTTACTGCCGCAGTCCATCTTGAGGTCTATGGCTTCAATTAGAATCTTTGAGTACAGAACGCGGTGTATGCTTCGCGACAGAAATCATAGTGTGCGTAATTACTGGTGGGAAGGCCACACGTGAGTCTTCACGGGTAGGTACCACCACCCTGCCTATTTCTGCCGTGAAGCAGTAATTGCGTTTCGGTTTGAAGGGCAGGGCAGCCGTTGTACTGTTAAAAGTGAAATCTTACAACTCATGTCTCAAGATAGGTAGCGGCATTTACGTTATAGATGTCTATGGGCTCCGGTATCCACTTAACATCGGGTGGGCCGTGAGCTCGTACACACACCTAAGCAATAAAAAAAAGAAAAAAAAAGCAATAAGTAGGATAGTTAAGTAGAATACGTACGTATTGGGTTTACGTCCAAATTTGCCAGAAAGAAGCTTAATTAAAGAGATGATTTCGCTGAAGTTAAGGCAATGTGAAATTTACAACAAACGCTTATTATATCCTCCGAACAATAGCCGTAAACCTATGATATTTCTATTTTTATTTTTTTTTGCTTAGATGGGTGGACGAGCTCACAGCCCACCTGGTGTTAAGTGGTTACTGAAGCCCATAGACATCTACAACATAAATGCGCCACCTACCTTGAGATATAAGTTCTAAGATCTCAGTATAGTTACAACGGCTGCCTTACCCTTCAGACCGAAACGGATTACTGCTTCACGGCAGAAATAGGCAGGGCGGTGGTACCTACCCGCGCGGACTCACAAGAGGTCCTACCACCAGTAAAGTACCGAATCTTTTGTGCTGGTTATTTTGAATTGTACATTTTTGTATTTTCATTGTAGGCCTTCAGCGAGATATCTGGAGTGATCACCCAATACTACTCCGTTACGAATCTATCGCCTTACACTGAATACGAGATGTACGTCATTGCGGTCAACAACATCGGCAGGGGACCTCCGTCTTCACCGGCGGTCATCAGTACCGGAGAAACAGGTATGACGAATAATTCAATATCGATTGTTCTGCTGTGAACTTAAGGACGCTTTTCGATTGCTATCAACCACAACCATGGTACCTTCGACTGATATAATATCGTGGGTACACTTTATGCAAAAGGCCTCGCAAATGGAACACGCATCAAGGTTTAAATTTTTTTTAAATATTCATGATCGTATTGGGCTCATAGTAAGCAATCTTTTTATTGACTTTGTTATTAGCAACGATCATAATTTGTCAAACTCAAATGCTATTTCAATGACCGAATGCATTGTACTGTCAATAAAATACCAACATTGACCTTTTACTGTGAAGGTTCTAGAAGGCGAAATAAAACAAAATTAACTTCATTATTAAAACAGGTAAAATAATTTAAATGAATTTTTAGTACCAATTACAATTAATCAACTGGTTTATAATACACGTTATTCTTGGTTGTTATAATTAAAAAGTTACGTACAAATTTCTTTCGGTCAAAATAGATTCAGTCTCACTTCATTTTATACAGTAGCAGTAGCGTAGTTCTGTTTGTGGGAATAGCCAGAAACAGAACGTCTTTTTATCTTAAAACATCTTCCGAAGCCCTTGTTCCAAAATAAATATATTCATATTGGTATAGCGTCCAGGAAATACCGTCACGGATTCAATTTAATTTAATTAAAACCCTGAATAATTGCCTTTCGTTTATTCGAACGCAAATGACAATAATGAAGCTGATTCATTGGGTAATATTGAGCAAAGTTTTGGGATCGCTTTGAATTGTTGATTAAATTTCAAAGTTCAGTCTACAAAGGTGAAATTTGAAAACGATAGAGCTACGTTAATTCTTTTAAGGGATCGAAGAACTGTCATAGTTTTAAAATTATTTTTAACCTTGTAAAGAACAGACAGAGCATGAAGATTGTTCACACGAAATATTTTTAAGCGCTGTCTAATTATAAAATAAAGAAACCATTTTTATTGCTAAGATCTCTATGAAGAACTAAATCATCGTACCAATTGTAAGAAACATTGTAAGAAGAGATAAAACTTAATAACAATGTGATACCTGAGAAATACATACTTATTTAAAAAACCAAACCAAATTTTCTGTAAATTATTACGAATTAAATTATAAGATTTATTTTTTTATTATTTAAAAGGGTTAATGTTTAAATTAATTAATTATAATTGGTACGATGAAAACTATGAAAAACAATATCAGCTAAGGCACAGATCTGTTCGCTTAGTGCGAGTTTTTAACGTTCTCGATAGCGTAAAAGTTAAATCAAATTTGTATGGATTTTGAACGTTTGCCTACGTTTGCCGCTAGGGGCGCTGTTCCGTCTACATACAAGTTTGAGTTACTTTTACGCTATCGACAACGTTAAAACAACTCACACACTAAGCGCACCGATATACAATGTACATACATATGTACGTATTCGCTGCTTAACGTTCAGGCTAATGGAGTGGAAAACTTGTTCCGAACTCAAATTAAACTGCTTTTTAAGTTAAAATTCGTTTCGGAATTGAATATGATAGACCATAATAACAATATTTTAGTCAAAAAAAAATTTGAGGAATTAGAATCGAAGCCGTAAAATTTTATTAATTCAAAATTATGTTCACAAATCTTTGGCCAAACTTAAATTTGTAAAGTAAGTTGACTTACCTTTTAAGTAAAATTGTATTCCATTAGGAAAACGCAATAAAATAGCTTTTATTAAAAAAAAGGTTTTGTTATAAGTTATATACAGAAGAACAGTCTATTTGAAATGCCAATAAAACCTTACGCCGCCATACGAACACGTCAACCACCGATTTTACATCAACTCAATTCCGGAACAGTAAAATCCACATGAAGTATCAACAATAAAAACATATCCGCTCCGCATACATACACGAACATCGCTTTATTTTCGTTTCATTTCTCTTTACCGCTTCCGATTATCTATTAATTTCTGGATGGTTTCGTTTCTGAGTTTTTGAGGTTCGTTTTTTTTTTTACGATTTTTCATGACTGCTCTTTGTCGCGATTGTCGACGTTCGCGGACGATACGTGTAAGTTTCGTTGTGTGTCTCTTGTTTTACTGTTTTTTATTTTGTTTGCACAGTTTTTTTGTTTTTTTGTTCCTTTGTAGAACTCGGTTCGAGTGTAGACGGTTTTCTTCTTAACGATTCTAATTGTTGGAATGTCTTCAATTGAATCTAAATAGGTTGTAGACAGATGCGGAAATTAGGTACTAACCAAATTTAAATGAAAAAGATAATACATTAAATCGCATCACTAAAGACTTTTTGATAATTTAAAATTTCGTGAACCAGCCAATTCAACGCGAGGAGAGTTCGTGATACAAATAGACACATTACTTGTATAATACATTTTATCTATTTTTTCATTATCAGATAACTTGTCGTCTCAATAGCTGCTTAACTAAAACAACTGACAAAGAGTAGGGAAACGGTACTCTGAGCTCGTCAAACCATCAAAGCATAAAAAAAAAGTTTGACTTTGCCAGTTTAGATATAGATTTCACAAGGCAAAATAATTAACATTCGGATGATCACGGTCTTGAAGACACGCGGGGCGTATATAAATCTTAGCCCGTATATACCGGTATCCGAAATAAACACACTAAAATGTCATGAAGCGAGAACGAGAAAGAAGTGTAAGCAACACTTCTTTTAAATTCGAATTATGCTAGTATTTATTACCAATTCTGCTTCGTTATCAGTCTGTTCGTTCGTAAAGTAATAGGCATAAAGTCCAAAATAAAAACACGTACCGAAATAATAATAAAAACAATTGCAATTCGATTTCGTGTAGGTACTTGGGCAAATTATAAACCGTCTATATTACGTATACTGAGGTAGCTAATAGATTTAGTGTGTGTTTTGTTTTATTTCATCATGCACCATTTCGTTCTAGCCGTGTTATAGGATAATAATAAATGTGGATACTTTTAATGAGTCTAATGAGTACTTTATGATCGTTTAAAATATTTAATTAAAAATAATAATTAAATGTACGTTTTTTTTTTACTATTTACAGTGGATTCTGTATATGGAGGCGCCAGTGAGTATACTTAAGTATAATTATAGATTTTTATTACCATTATTACACTTTAGAAGGTAAAACCATTTATTATAAACATTACTTTTCATTACTGCACATGTCTGGGTGATCCTACCAGGTGGCTTATGAAATCGGTCTCCCATCTGTGACAACTAAAAAGCTATCACAATTATTCAAATTTTAAACTAAAGTACAAAGTTTCTAGTTTAACTTGACGTTTTACCATGAGTGTACATATAATTGCACACAATATAAGTAAAGGGCAATAGTATGGTTGTTTGCCATAAACAAGTCATTACGGATCCTCCCGATCCATTAACGGTGCTTTTAGGTACCTCAAGCACCGGTCACCGTCCTCGCCGAACCCGTCGCTAGCGACGAAGGGCTCGACGGGTAAGTTGACCCATAGACACAGCCCACTGAGTTTCTTGCCGGATCTTCTCAGTGGGTCGCGTTTCCGATCCGGTGGTAGATTCTGCGATGCAACAATCAATATCTTAGGATGTTTCCAGTTGACTGAGATGTCTACGGGACAGAATTGCACAAATCGCATTATGTTTATTGTAATATACGACTATTTGACTCTACTTGAGGAAATATTAAATATTATTATAATATAAAGTGAAGGAAGATTGTTTGTTCATTCTCTGTGCACCGTTAATCCAGTTGACTTGAAACATCATATTATTATAGCTACGTTCACAAATGTAAAATGTGTATAATATGCCGTGTGTAGAATTTTAACAGATGAAAAGTTCATTGGCTTATCATAAAAGTAACTTTCAAATTTGAACAATCGTACGGTCGTTTTTCTTCTCGAAATTTCGACGAGTATGATACGCAAGAGAAACATTGAGATACACACAAAACAGAATAATTGGTTCGCTGCTGTATCCCGGCACGCATACATTCCGCTCTTGCGTAATGTCAAAGCTATCGCGTCTAATTTCCCGCAAAATGTAATATTATTAAATTCAGCTTCTAAGCCGTGTCTCGGATTACCGACGTGTCACAAGAAGCTTGCTGAAAAATTACATGTTGATGAAAATGAGAATTTGCTAACGTGACAGGTTTATGTTAAAAGGAAGCAGTATAAATACGATTACGTTATTACTTTTAAGCTTAAGATGTACTAAGTAGTCTTGAGATCGTAAAATAGAAAGAATTTAGGTGAATACCTGATAGGTTGTTGTTGTTTATGAAATACATACATTGCTGTTTCATCAGCGCTAAATATGTAATTCGTAAATGATGAAAACGTGTTTTATGGGAATAATAGTTAATGTCCTGATTCAGAAAGTATCTTACTGTAGAGAATCAGTAATTCAGTTCGTCTGGGGATCCGTTAGTAAATTCCTGTGAAAAATTTGATAAACTGATAAACATAATTTTACGTTCATAGCATCTTCTCAGCACCTACCTCTTTTCGTGGCCCCCCTCTTACTACACATCCGACCCAGGCGTTGGGGCAACGCAAACCCGCCGTCGCCCTATACATGTCCTATTTTTTTTTTCTTTTTCTCTTCCTAAGCTGGTAACCTCTCGGCTCTGATCCTCCTGATCCTCTCACGTTGCTTTTAGGCACCCCAAGCACCAGTCACCGTTCTCAACGACTCGTCGTATAGATTAGGTCGAATAGGTAGATTCAGCGAAGTTCCGTTCTTAATTACTAAGGCTAGTGTTAGTAGTCTCTCTGAGGTTGAGCCCCGTGAACTCACCTACCAGTCCGCGCGCAGTTGTAGTAGCTTCTTCGGTTACCAACGAGTAGGGAGAGGAAAAAAAAGCCTACAACAACAACTAGCAAGATTTTTATTAATTAAATTGCATATTAGTACTCAATGACTGACTTAAGCTACAATTTGTGACGTCATTAATACTACGTTCAATCTTCATGACGATTATAATATAAATTTAAATTCGTGCGTATCAAATTAGTAGGCAGCGGCTTTGCTCTGCCCCTGGCATTGCTGAAGTCCATGGGCGACGGTAACCACTCACCATCAGGTGGGCCGTAAGCTCGTCTGCCTACAAGGGCAATTAAAAAAAAAATCGGTTATTTCAATACACAAAAAATATTTTTACTACTTGAATTTTCTAAACCGTCGATCAGAAACTAAAAGTCTCACTGATACATTATTAATTTTCTCGAACAAAAAAGAAACTTCAATATCGTTAGGTTGCCAATAAAGAAAGGGGAAGTTCGAAAGGCCGGCGACCCGTGATTTTTCACGAGATTATAATATTTTAATATCGCATCGCACCCTAAAACTTATTGTTTCGGCTTTCCTTTTGTTTTTCGGAACGAAGCGAAGGGATTTTTCATTGAGCAACGCCCTTTATAGCTGTAGATCTTGTTAGCATCAGCCATTGTACAACCGACTGCAAACTTGTCCCGTTTGTATATATATAATATTATTTTTTTCTATCGCAACGTAATTGAGATGAGCCGACTTGCTTCTTAATTTGACACTGCGGTTTCATAACATTACTTCGGTAATGCTTCCTTAAATGAATTCCGCGAGGGGAAAACCTTAAGCTGAGTTTTCACGAGTTTCGTTATTATATACAGTTTTATTCAGTCTTGGGTTTATTACGACAACGACGATTTGAATAAAGTCGGTCCTTTTAAATTTCTGTTCTGCTTGTAAAGAATTTTAGAATTTGTATACCTTGGTAGGAGAGTGTTATGACTACAATTGGAGTTTGTGATAGGACTAAGCTTATTGAAGAATCCGGATATGATTGTGTCTGGATCAAATAGTCGATGTTTTGAATTTTTGTCTGTGTTAGTTTGATTTCGTATTTGCTCGTTTTTGAAACTTAAACTCTGTTTACTGCGAGTTTTTTAATGAAATATTTAAAGTTGTTTGTTGAATGTAAAGATAGATATCTAAGTTACAATTTTGAGGACGAGACTTATTTAAAAAGCCATTATAAAAATGTAAAAAAAAACTACCCACCAATCTGTTAAAAAAAATTTAATTCGTTCTTCTGCTGCGTTGAGATTAGTCAAGAATTTGGCTTTAAAAAGCTTTTATGATTCGACTTTAAAAAAATTGGCACTTGTGTTAGCTTGGTGCGAAAGCGAATATTTAGGCGAACGAAACTGCGGAATATACTTTGTATTTTTATACAACTATTAACGTTAGGCTTCCTCGTGACTTAATATCTTTCATAGGTTTTGCTCCCTTAATCTTTATTGGTTTAGCGTGGAGCTTCGTCGGTCTTATTACATTTTCTATGTTAAAGGAAAAATATATGATTGAAATACAATATCGTATCGTTTCTTTTAGATACCATGCGTGATTTGTGATATCCAAATAAATAAAAAACTCGTAAATAATTATAAGCGAAATTATTTTTTTAGTTATAGGAAACAATTATTGTGTTTAAGAAAAGATAAACATTTGCTTTAAGAAAATAAAATACATCTAACCAATACGTTGTCATACAAAAGCGTGTTCAAATTCTCGGTTGATCCAAGAAAGAGAAATGATCCTATGTCAATACTCGCTAATAAATTTAAGGGCTTACATCTCGCAACTTTGTTAGCCGATTTCAATTATCTCTTTTAAACTCTCTAGTCTTATATTTAACTAGCGACCCGCCCTCGCTTCGCTTCGGAAACATTAAAACACACATGAAACCAAAAAAATAAAATAATTTTTTTTTTTAAAAGTATCCTATGTTCATCAGGGACATTGTCAGCTTCTAATGGAAAAAGAATTTTTCAAATCGGTCCAGTAGTTTCGGAGCCTATTCGAAACAAACAAACAAACAAATCTTTCCTCTTTATAATATTAGTATAGATTGTATTTGTTTTTGCTCACTAAGCCTTTTTCGTTTTATTGCCGCGATCTAAGCCAACTATAATTTTATAGTCAACGTCAATAGCAAAACTGAAACTAGATTATAACATATTTCTTTTAGGCTCGGGTTTATTTCGTTAATTTTATTATTTACCGTCGATATTGCAAACTGTTTTGAATCGAGTGCACATTGATCGCCTGATTCAACCTTTTCTTCTTATTCTTCAAACCGTGTCCACCCAATGCTGATTGTAGGTCTCTACATATTTTTGTTGCAAATTAAACCTTATTCGTTTCTAAATAAAGCACACATTTCGTTCAAAGAGCCCGGTTCAGCGCCGAAGAATGTTCAAGTCCGTCCACTCAGCTCCAGCACGATGGTGATACAATGGGAAGAACCGGAGACGCCTAACGGTCAAGTCACCGTAAGTTTCTCTACAAAAATGTTTCCAATTGAAATGATATATGAATGAATGAATGATGAATGAATGATGAATGAATGATGAATGAATGATGAATGAATATATGAATGAAATATGAATAAATATTTGGTATTAATTAACATAATGATTGGAAGATCTTGAAAAATCTACGTAGATATAAAATAAACAAATATTACTGGTGGTACGCCCCGTATTGTGAGCCTACACGGGTAGGTACCACCACCCTGCTTAGTTCTACCGTGAAGCAGTAATGTGTTTCGATGTGGAGAATGACACAGCAAACTGAGACTTAGAACTCAAGCCGCAGGACGGGTTTTGCTACTTACGTTGTTGATGTCGATGGGCTCCATTAACTACTCACACCAGGCGTAACCCCCCCCCCCCCCCCGCCCATCGAAGCAATAAATAAAAATAGTTTAACGCGAAAATTTATCAGAAGTCATTAAAAAATAATATTACTTTTGACACTTTTGTGAAGTCATCATAAAAGCCTATTCAGAGGCCATTTACAGAATTATTTATGTAATTAAAAGTACTTTTACTATTTAATCTCGGACGTATTCTTTAAGCTCAGTTTTTTTTTTGTGAGTTTCATCTAGAATACTATCCGTGGGTGTCATTAATGCGACTAAGGGATTTCTGGAGAATAGACAGTAACGTTCTCTAAGTGTCATACCAGTCGCATTGCAAACAGCATCAACTGGTGATAGGGCTTAAACTTGCACGAGTGGGTTCCATAAACCTGTCTATTTCTACCTGGCTACATCTTCAGGCTTGCTGAGTGAGACATGACTGAAGGTGGGTGGTAGAATTCGTGTTGATGTCTATGGCCCCCAGTAACCGCTTGACATTAGACTGGCCGTCCTTGGTCCATATACACAGCAGAGACAAAAAATATTTCAATAGTAACTTTAAAAAAATTATTTAACCTTAAATTAAAACAAATGATGACATTATTTAACAGGGCTACAAGATATTTTACACTACGGATCCATCGCAACCTTTACAGTCTTGGCACTCTCATATGGTAAGTATCTTACTGATCTCTTTTTGCAAAAGTAATGCTAAGATAAGTACATATCTATGTAATCTATGTAATCGTGTATAATCTTATTACCCCATATAAAAGAGACAAACAGAAGAATAAAACGTAGTAGATGAAAATATAAATTCCATTAATCTAACAAAACTTAACCTATTTAGACATTTACCAAAATATTCGTTAATAGTCAATAACAACAACAATAGTCAGTGCTCGATTAGATTTGCGTTCGAATTCAGTATTTCTGTTATAGATATTTGATATTCGGAATGAAGAATTTAAAAGGTATATTTACCAAACGAATCATTTTTGTTCAAAATATACAGTAGTATTTACAAAACCCCACAAAGAGTGATAGGACTAGATTCTATTCAGTACCGTATTGAATACAGATGGACAACAGTCACTTGACAACGATAAGTGAGCTAACCCCACACACGGTGTACACGATAAGAGTGCAAGCGTATACATCCGTTGGACCGGGTCCGATATCTGCTCCAGTTCAAGTGAAAACCCAACAAGGTAAGCGAAAACACACTGAAACAGTCTTCATTGCATTAAAAATTAAAGGTCCTGAATACAAATTCTCGGGAGATGTGATGATAATCATAACACTTCTCCCTTGAGGCACAACTTTCCTATAATCAATGTTAAAAGATGAGGTCGAAGACCCAATTGCACAACAACCGTTCTGCACGTCAAGCACGAAAAACTACCGATACGAAAACGGATCATTACATTAAATGGTAGTACTTGATAGCCAGCCTTTGAGTCGAATTCATTGAATCATCATTCATTTGAATGAATTGAGACGTTACCGTATATCAAAACAATCTTCGTACTGCTGAAATTAATTCTTTTTACGGACGGTAAGGGCGCTGGTTAAATGCTATACATTTTTTCTCAATAGCGATACGAACACTTTTTCGATAATCGTTCGTGTTCGCCCCTCTGCTCTGCTCTGCTCCTTCGAATCGGAACATCTTAACAAATATTTATGCCAGATTAGTTAATAATCTGCACGGTTGTGAACATATTTTTGACTGGATCCTTCATTTAAAAACAATAATCTAAAAAGGTTTTTATAGATTGTTTTTTTTTTTCGCATCAAGGAGTACCGTCGCAGCCATCAAACCTCGTTGCCACGGAAGCTGGTGAAACATCTGTGACTCTGTCGTGGAAACGACCAGCTCACGCCGGCGACAACATCGTCTCTTACGAACTCTATTGGAACGATACGTACGCTAAGGAGCATCATAAAAAGTAAATATCCACACATTTCAACTTCGATCAACAATTTGTTGATCGAAGCATTTTAATAAGATATCTTTGAGACCTCTCCTTATTATAGACGCAATTTCAAATATTCATAATATCACATTTACAAATGGTACATATAAAATTTATATTACAATGTTACTGAGAGTATTTTGGATAAAACTAAACGATAAATAAATACTACTACTTACAAGGCTCAATTTTTTTAAATAGATTTGAGTTTGTAAAGCACTTTAATGATAATATGCCCGTAGAAAAAAATTGTAATTTACAAAATATTTTGACTTATCACGATTATTCTTTGATTTGCCTATCTGAAATTTGGAAACCAATTGCAAATTACTATTGAAAATACGTAAATAATACCTAAACATAAATACATATGTACGTCCGGTTTTAGTGAGTTTATATTCTATGAAGCCGCAATACATATGACGGCAACTGTATATATATGCCTTCGGCATACGTGTTTGTAAGCGGGTTTTGTATTATTTAGACATCGGCAATGCTAAAAGCACAGCCTGCTAACTTAGGCTTAGTATTTTTCCCAGATTTTTGTATGTAAAGAAATGACCGTAATTATCATTTCCGAACCAGACGCATCCCGATTACGGAGACATACACCTTGAACGGTCTTTATCCGAATACGTTGTACTACATCTGGCTAGCGGCGAGGTCTCAGCGAGGGGAAGGCGCCACCACACCCGCCATAGCCGTCAGAACCAAACAGTATGGTACGTGGGAACAAAGTGCGGTAATGAAGGAGTGTACGTGTCTTGTGCGAGTTATGTAGACAGCGCTATCGAGAACGATCCATGGAACATAAATAACCAATCGCGAATTGGGATTGAAATTAATAATGAACTCACCGTACAATCAAAAATTCACTCGAATAACAATTACGAAATTAAACAATAATCAGAAAGTACTCGCCGAACGAATTGGCTTCTTGAACCCTTTTACCGTAACGAAATATTCAGGGAACAATTTGTAAGGAATGCTTTTAAGTAATCTAACTTTACGTTTCGCATCGAAGTTCAAATTTTCGTGTATTTCTTATCATTTAGTCGGACAGATTTGTGTATTTATAAAGAGGGGATCATTCTCGGGTAAGCGCTTTGAAAAGATGTGAGAGTGATTGAATTATGTTGTGAGTATTCCAGGTAACTCCAATGTAATATTTCACATAAGAGCACCTGCCCGGCACGCTGCCAGTAATTCAAGCACCAGCACCAGTTTTATATCACAATAAGTGTTTCGTATTCGTTAACTTATCGAACGGGCAAAGTATTCGCAAACGTCATCCCTTGACATTTCCGTCAATACGACTTGCGCGTACAGTGCCTCAGTAGGAGCTTCATGTTGTATGTAGGTCAGTTTAAAAAGGGTCACCCTTAAAAGTTTTTTTTTAACTTAACATATAGTGCTAACGACACGAAGTGCTAACTACGGTCGTATCCTTTGATCTAGGGTTCGATTACTTCCAGATAGATATAGAAAGTAATCTTCGTGTTATTAGCAAAGAAAATAATAGTATTCTTCGGCAGGAAAAAGCGTGACGGATGAGAAATAAAGGATGTATGGGCGAGCGGATTCTACACGACACTTTTACTCATAGAAATATCAATGTGCATGCTCGATTGTTTACCTTGACGACTCGCTCGTTTTCTGATTATGTTTGAGCACCATTTATTTTTTCAATCGCATTCAGTGATTGCATCGGAGCCAGAATAGGAATTCGCGTAACCGACGTGACGACCGTCGCGAGTTTGAGTTTCAGGTGACGGGTCGCGGATGGTATTCTCCCGAGGGGGGGCGCGTTTCATGTAGCCATTGATGAGCTTGTTTAGTTCCCGGGGCGCCGCCGATGAACGTGACCGCGGTGCCGATCTCGCCGACTGCCGTGCGCGTGTCATGGCAGCCGCCACCCGCCGAGCGCGCCAATGGGAGAATCGCGTACTACAAGCTACTATGCGTCGAGTCCGGCAGGGGAGATTCGGAGGCTTCCATCTTGAAACTCAAACAGAACCAAACGTCTGTNCATTGATGAGCTTGTTTAGTTCCCGGGGCGCCGCCGATGAACGTGACCGCGGTGCCGATCTCGCCGACTGCCGTGCGCGTGTCATGGCAGCCGCCACCCGCCGAGCGCGCCAATGGGAGAATCGCGTACTACAAGCTACTATGCGTCGAGTCCGGCAGGGGAGATTCGGAGGCTTCCATCTTGAAACTCAAACAGAACCAAACGTCTGTCGTTTTGGATGAATTGAGACGTTGGACGGAATATCGCATCTGGGTGCTGGCGGGTACCAGCGTGGGCGACGGACCCGCCTCCTACCCTGTCACTGTACGCACGCATGAAGACGGTACGTGTCTACTAACTCATTCGTTGATCTAACATCTCATTCGTTAACCATCACGTTCAATTTCATGTTTGTCTCCGTTATAAATAAATTCAATTTCTAACGAATCAGGCCCACGCAGTCCATCCTAAACAATAATTATAAGTATAGTAGACTACATATAAAATTATACATTTATACAAGAAACACCACTATGTTTCTTCATATTTATAATAAAACAAGCTACGTGTTCCTGAATTTAAAATAAGAAATCATAAAATTGAACGTCAAAAAGCCAAAATCATGATAAATTGATCAATCATTTAATTATATTTTACATTAACAAAGTTCTTTGGCTACGCTATATCAGAGGAGTTATAACAAGTTCATAACTTTAAATTTACTCCGAATTAGCTATGAATTATTAAAATAAATTTCCTCTTTATAACTTTATTAGTTCAATCCTCTGATGTTTCGACTGTTTAAATTGTCTTAATTTACATTGATCTTAATGGATTTAAATAATACAAATTTTATCATACTTGTACTAACATAAGTTAAATTGACTGATGTCTTAGTAATTTCATTCGCAGCCTTTTGTTTGAGTTTGAAAAGTAATCATATTTCGTGAATGACATTACTAACTATAATAAATGTACGACTTAAGCAGATCGCACAGAATATTCACATGATAAAGTTTCACGTCAATTTGCGTTCTGTTTTGGTCAATTTTTAATAATAACAAGGCAACTGTGGGAGGCCGGTGGTGGTGGTGGTGAAAATATTTAATTTCATTTTTCATGTCATGCTAGCGATGTGCGGACACGGAAAACCAAAAGATACTAATGTCATTTTTTTTCTTCTGTTCCTTTTATGAGCATATAGCGGGATTCTAATGGAGGTCAATTCTCGTAACAAAAGTTTTACTATGCTTGCCGATTAATGTTACTCTGTAATCATTACACTGGTTATCATTATTGTTTTCACTGTTGTAATGTTGCTGCTGTACGTTGCAGCACAATGTTTCCACTCACTGTCACATGTAATGATTTTGTGTAATAACGCGTATCATTGAATCGTCACATTCTCAAATTAAGATGGCACTCACTGAAATGCAAAACGTTTATATATTTGCACTTGACATAGTGTCGACGGCACTGTTTATATTCACTTTTGGCGCACAGTTGTTCAGTATTTAGCGATGAACACAGTTTTGCATGCTTTCTTTAACGACACAGCACCGTTTTGTTCGGTTGATTTCACTGAGCACCGGATAGGTTCAAGAGCTGCCGTACGCAATCGTTATTATTATTAAATTGCGTTAGGCAAAACACTGCACTTTTAGGATGCACTCAGCACATAGCGACGACACGAGGTGAGAGAACGAGTGCGAGACACATGACGCTGCGGCCGGCGGATCGCTCGACGCGATCACCGCCGCTTTCCGACGCAAATAACCGCAGCAGCAAAAGCGCCGGTATTTGCTCGTAAAGCTTTTGACCGTCGAGCGACCGTCGGTCGTGAGGTTCGACACGCACCACGGCCCGAGCGCCGCATTTGAATACCAATACCGTCCACACCACACGCGCGCATGCTACTAAACTACTCACCGACTACTTCTCTACTCACTATACTATCTGACTACTATTCTTATAGCGGGAATGACAGGCCGAAGCACAGTCCCGAGGATCCACTAAATTAAAAAAAAAAACAAGTATTTCAATTGGCCTTTCGGATCTGAAGGATTAGATCCTTGACCATCTTCGCCTGCTCAATTGCACAGCTCAGTTACATAGACTACGCGCTATTTCTATCTCTATCTCTGTCTCTCTATCTATTTGACTTGCTCTTGTGCTACGATTTCTTGCAAGTAGCAACTTCATTCTCGCATCTCTTCCTTCTTCTGTATTTTCTGTCAGACTATCGTCGTGCATGCACACTAGATATTGTTACAATACAAAAAAAACTATATTGCCTAAAGTTCGCATTGCCGTATAAATGAACGGGCGGGCCTCAGAGAACGCAAAGAGACAAACGATCGTCAAACACTTTTAAGTATATTTTTTAAATAAAACAACTGTACATTTTAGAAGAGCACAATCAGCGGACACTGACACTGTCACAAATATCACAGAGGATACACGAGGTACGAGTAAGGCACACACACAGAAGCAACGAAGGGCGCACATTGACAAGTTTCACACAAATGAAGCACACATACATAGACTGGCGCCATCGTCGCGTTAATCAATACATGTGCGTGTGAGTGACTTCTCTACACCGAGGGACAAGAAATGGTTACATCGAGCTGTTTTGTCTTTTTCTACACATACTTAATGCCAAAAATTATATAACGTGTATCGCAAAACACACTTTATTCTGGCGTAGGAAAACTCATTTCCGTTTTGCACAGCAAATCTAAAGAAAAAGGCAATGCACGCAAACTGAACGAGGCCGCCGTCCAAAGCGGCTTAAACCGAACGCGTCTTCAAAAGACCAGAAAATATTACGTGGAAGTAAAATAAGAGTGCCCCCCTATTTGCCGACAAGCGTTCTACTCGTAATCTCTCACTTAGTAGTTCCGTTCGCCCTGCAATGTTCGCACAATTTGTCTTAAATGTATTTGAATGCGTTTTTCTCTTTTTTTCTCTCGTCACTGACTTTGTATGGGCCGCTGGTAACCCGTACAGCTATAAGGAGTGAGTATAAATTATTATAGTGCTTGTATTGTGTATTTGTGCTTGTGCCTATGCTTCTATATAGATGTCTTCCTAGTAACTCAATCTGTATACGAGCAGACTGCAAGCGGTGACCTTTTCGCGGCATGTCTTTGTAGACACTGTAATTGACTTGGTGTGTACTTTTCTGAGCCTAAATCGACCAAAGTCCCGAGTCTTATCCAAAGCATGGCCCCTTGCAGTGTGTAATACAAATTATTAGTTAGCAATGCGGCTTATTGATTATTTTAGACACTAACTAAATGTGACTCTTTAGCTTGACGATTTTAGTTAAACTAAATGATGTGGATTGGAAGGTAATGGATTTTTATTTGGTTATGGTGTTGTGAAAGGGCGTAAATGAAAATGTCTCAGTGTGTGTTGGTATTCAAATGCCCGATCGAGATGCTGAAGGCGTGTTTAGACACTCGCCACGACCGAAATACTCTATCAGCATCGAAGACGGCGACTACCGACCGCACGGTTAAATTATTACGTTTGCATCGCTTCCCGAAAACCTATTGACGCGGACGCTTCTAATTTAGTTCCCTGAAAGTTGCTTTAGATAGTTCTCGAGCACGTTTCCCGTAGATGCTGATAGGGCATTTTAGGTCCACTACAAAGGAGTCCGGTCCAATCTTCTTAACATAATACTTGTATTTATACAGTGCCTGGTGAACCACAAGACGTCAAGGTGACAGCCATCAACTCAACCTCTATCCATGTTACGTGGAAGCCGCCACATGATAAAGATAAAAACGGAATCATCAGGGGCTATCATGTTCACGTCCAAGAAGTTAGAGAAGAAGTAAGAACGAATGAACGAATTAATTATAAAATACACAAAATGATCAGAAGAGTTTTTTGTAATAAAAAATGCATTTACAGGGGAAAGGTCTTCTCAACGACCCCATGCGTTTCAATGTAATGGATGACACGACATTGGAACTGAACGTTTCTGGCCTCCAACCAGACACACGGTACAATGTTCAGGTAGCTGCACTGACAAGGAAAGGAGACGGCGACCGGAGTCCACCAGTATCTGTCAAAACCCCTGGCGGAGTGCCAAACAGACCGACCGTTAGTCTAAAGTAAGTAACAAATAAACATTCTTTATGATTTTACGCAACTTTATGCTTCACATATTCGCATATAATTGAAAAAAGCTAAAAAAAATGTTTCTTTCATATTTGTAGAATCCTGGAACGCGAACCAATAGTTTCTATCGAATTAGATTGGGCGAGACCTACACAGACATACGGAGACTTACTTGGATATCGATTACGATTCGGAATTAAAGATCAGCCGTTAGAGGAAATCAATTTCCCTGGTACCAAAGTGACGTCACATAGAATAAGTGATTTAGAACGAGGAGTTCAGTATGAGTTTAGAATAGCAGGAACAAATCAAATAGGCGTCGGACAAGAAACTATAAAGTACATGTTGACTCCAGAAGGTGCTCCTAAGGGACCTCCAACTAATGTTACATATCATTTCCAAACTCCCGATATCATAAGTATAACCTGGGAACCCCCTGTAAGAGCGGACAGAAGTGGCCAAATTAAGAAATATGACGTCCAATTTTATAAAAGAGGAGATCAGTCGTCATTATTAGAAAAAACCACTAACCAAACGAAGGCCGTATTCACGGGTCTGGAAGAGGATGCACATTACGTATTTAAGGTTCGTGCGTATACTGATCAGGGGCCTGGACCCTACAGCAAAGATATGACTGCTCATACCGAAAGAGATATCGGAAGAGCACCCATGTCCGTCAAAGCTGTCGCCACCTCAGAGTCAAGCGTCGAAGTATGGTGGGAAACATTCCGTTCCAGAAAGAAGATAATAGGCTATGTCTTATTTTATACTATGACGCCGGTTGAAGATTTGGACGAATGGCAACAAAAGAGTATACATGTAACACATTCGGCTGATTTGGAAAATCTGGAAACGTTTGCGGAGTATGCTATAGCAGTGGCTGCTAAAACAGCGGACGGATTGGGAAGGCTGTCGGAAAAGGTTACTGTTAAAGTTAAACCAGAAGAAGTGCCTTTACACCTAAGAGCTCAGGACGTGTCTACACATTCTATGACTCTGTCCTGGTCATCCCCGCTACGATTAAACCCTGTTAGTTATAAAATCTCGTACAATGCCATCAAAGAGTTCGTAGACTCGCTCGGTATGACACAGACTCAAGAGATACCTAGAAAAGAAATTATTGTTAAGCATAATAGAACATCATTTTCTATCAACGACTTGTCGCCTTTTACGACTTACAATGTAAACGTAAGCGCCATACCGAATGACGATTCGTATCGGCCGCCTAAAAAGATTACAGTGACGACGCAAATGGCCGCACCTAAGCCGATGGTCAAACCAGACTTCTATGGTGTTGTCGAAAACGAAATACTCGTAATTCTACCTCAAGCTTCCGAGGAATACGGACCTATCTCCCATTATTATTTAGTCGTAGTACCTGATGATAAGTTGCACAATCACAAGAATCCGGATCAGTTCCTAACAGACGACCTAATCAAGAATAACATGAGAACGGACGATGAAAACGCTCCCTACATTGCAGCCAAATTTTTACAGAGAAACATTTTGTATACCTTTCACCTCGGCAACGACGAACTGTACGAAGGATTTTTGAATAGAAAATTGAACCTGAACAAAAGGTATCGAGTGTTTGTAAGAGCAGTAGTAGACACACCTCAGAAACACTTGTATACATCAAGTCCATTTTCGGAATATCTGTCTTTGGATATGCGAGAAGCTCCTCCGGGTGAGGAACCTAGCAGACCAGATCCCAAGGATATTAATGGCGATCCTGAAATTCGAATAGAAGAGAACAGGAAAGAGGCGGGCATGGTTTGGGTTGTCGGGCCGATAATAGCCGCCCTAATGCTTTCTCTTTGCTTAGTGGTGTTGTTCTTTGTAAAGCGGCGGCGTCAACCGTGCAAAACTCCCGATCAGGCGGCGGTCACCAGACCTTTGATGTCCGCCGATGTTGGTTTTGGTGCTCCATCTGACCCCGTGGAAATGAGACGATTAAACTTCCAGACACCCGCGATGATCTCTCATCCGCCTATTCCGATTTCTGAACTAGGCGAACACATTGATAGACTGAAAGCCAACGACAATATGAAATTCTCTCAAGAATATGAGAGTATCGAGCCAGGACAACAGTTTACTTGGGACCATTCTAACATGGAAGTTAACAAACCGAAGAATCGGTATGCTAATGTGATCGCGTACGACCACAGTCGAGTCATCCTTCAGCCCATCGATGGAATTCTAGGCAGTGATTACATTAATGCCAATTATTGCGACGGCTACCGCAAACATAACGCATACGTAGCTACTCAAGGGCCGCTGCAGGAAACTTTTGCGGATTTCTGGAGAATGTGTTGGGAGCTACGCACGTCCACGATTGTTATGATGACAAAATTGGAAGAGAGAACTAGAATAAAATGCGACCAATATTGGCCGAGCCGCGGCACTGAATCGTACGGCATGATGAGCGTTACCATTGCCGAAGTTCAAGAACTTTCGACTTATTCCATACGTACTTTCCAAGTATCTAGGAACGGATGCGCCGAACGTAGAGAAATCAAACAGCTACAGTTTACGGCTTGGCCGGATCACGGCGTTCCCGATCATCCTGCGCCCTTCCTCCAGTTTTTGAGACGCGTTCGTGCCTTGAATCCGCCCGAAGCCGGTCCGCTGGTCGTCCACTGTTCCGCCGGGGTGGGTCGTACGGGGTGCTTCATAGTCATTGACTCGATGCTTGAGAGAGCCCGACATGAGCGCACTGTCGATATATACGGGCACGTGACCTGTCTCCGCGCTCAACGTAACTACATGGTGCAAACCGAGGACCAATACATCTTCATTCACGACGCCTTACTGGAGGCGGTTATCTGCGGCGACACGGAAGTGCCGGCGCGCAATCTGCACGCTCACATCCAGAAGCTGATGCGAATCGACTCTATCGAGAACATAACGGGCATGGAATTAGAATTCAAGAAGCTGGCGAACATGAAGGCGGACTCCAGTAGGTTTGTCTCGGCCAGTTTGCCTTGCAACAAGCACAAGAACAGGCTAGTCCACATCTTGCCGTACGAGTCTAGTCGGGTCTGCCTGACGCCGCGCGATGGCTCCGATTACATCAACGCGTCGTTCGTTGACGGATACAGATACAGGGCGGCGTATATCGCCACGCAGGGCCCCCTACCGGACACCACCGACGACTTCTGGCGAATGCTTTGGGAGCACAACTCAACCATCATCGTGATGCTGACCAAACTGAAGGAAATGGGCCGGGTGAGCACGTTTCTCCAACTATCTTTATGGTTTATATGTAAATACTGATGGCAGGACCCCTTGTAAGTCCGGGCGGATAGGTATCACCATCCTGCCTATTTCTGCCGTGAAGTAGTAATGCGTTTCGGTTTGAAGGGTGCGGCAGCCGTTATGGGCTCCAGTAATCACTTAACTCCTCTTAGCNTGACCAAACTGAAGGAAATGGGCCGGGTGAGCACGTTTCTCCAACTATCTTTATGGTTTATATGTAAATACTGATGGCAGGACCCCTTGTAAGTCCGGGCGGATAGGTATCACCATCCTGCCTATTTCTGCCGTGAAGTAGTAATGCGTTTCGGTTTGAAGGGTGCGGCAGCCGTTATGGGCTCCAGTAATCACTTAACACCTCTTAGCACACATCTAAGCAATAAAAAAAAATGTTGTAAAGTAATTTTTTTATAAAATCTCACATTATTAAGTCTGAGTAATTTAACTTTGTTCTGAGTTTTACTCAATTATCTCTCTCAGCGCATTAACACATAACCACATAATTACGATACTTGTCATCATATACTTGATACTTTTTTTTGTTTTTAGGAAAAATGTCACCAATATTGGCCGTCTGACCGCTCGGTGCGTTACCAGTGCTTCGTAGTGGATCCGATTGCCGAATACAACATGCCTCAATACATTTTGAGGGAATTTAAGGTAAAAAATAAACAATCTATAACAGTTTACAAAACAATCAACCATAAAAGTATGTTTTCAATAAAAAAGATGTGTGGTGTCGTGGGACACCGGATACGAACGAAGTATCTTATTAAAAAAAATATGAATTTTAAGTTCTATTCGAGGTATAAATAAAATAAAACTGGAGGTTTCGCAACAACCCACGGTCATTCGGTAACGTGCGAACTTATTGTGGACCACTTCATTCACGGATGTTCTAAAAATCTTACGTTACGGACATTTTTTCCCGGTTAAGGTACCCCTCCGCATCGTCCTTTCCAAAAATTATAAAACTTACCCCCAGGTCACGGATGCCCGGGACGGCGCCTCCAGGACGGTCAGACAGTTCCAGTTCACGGACTGGCCCGAACAAGGAGTGCCGAAAAGCGGAGAAGGCTTCATCGATTTCCTCGGACAAGTTCACAAGACCAAGGAACAATTCGGACAGGACGGACCTATAACTGTGCACTGCAGGTGATTTATGATAGTCTTAGAAGGATTAAAATATTTTCATAATATGTAGATATGTGTTATACACATAAAAAAAAATCAATAAATCAGGTTCGATAAACAGCCAGCGGAACACACATTGGCGCGTTGCTCTGGATTTGACGAGCAACGCGCCGCCCTCGTCGCGGTCATTGGAGAGGACCTCTCGCTGCCGCGCGTCGTGACTACGATGCTCGGCAGCGACGCGTCCTGGAAGGCGATGCTCGACTTCTGCGAGTCCACCATCTCGCAGAAGGAGGCGGCGGAGCGAGAGAGGGAGAGCTCTTCCCTTTCCGCACCGATCCGTCGCCGTCGAGCCGGGGGCCGGAGGCGGGAATACGCCCGTACGTCCCGGCCCCTGTAGGTGGCGGCCTCCCCCCGGTGAAGGTCAAGGGGCGACCTGAGGGGGTGAGGCCGCGCGGCGCGCTACCAGCACTCTAGCGCGCTGCCGTGGAGTGAATAGAGCGACCGGTCGACGGTGTATCGCGTCCCGACCCGGCAGGCTGGTTCTGGTCCAGCGGGGTATTCCGGGACACCAGCGGCACCGTCTGGGCGGCCCGACGGGCTGCCGTACCGAGACGGC